AATTAAGCCTTAAAGTTGCACAATTTTAACAAATTTACTATGTTAATCCCCCAAAGTGACGTGTTACACGCAAATTTTTTATATTAAAATGAATGAATTGGAAGAATTGAAAATTTTGAAATCTGTATTGCAGATCTTTTATCACGTGATACTAATAAAGAGAATGCAACGTGGCAAACCTATTTTAAAACACGTGACTGTAAAAATTTTATTGCATTTGTGAATTTTTTCCCAAATCTGTCGCTGTGGCGCAGGAAGTTGTAAGGACTAGATGTCCTGCACCATATATGATAATGTTCTTTGTCAGAATCTCACCAAGGTTGAAGTAATATTGTTCATACATATTTTACTGGCTTTTCTATTTATTTACTTATGTCTAAATTTAAATCATTACATTGTCTCCTTTATGCTTTAGGGGATGTAAAGAAAGGTATTGTGTCTATAGAATTAAAGTTGCATTATATCATGAATTTAATAATGATGTACTAATTGATGAAATTATTGAAGTAATTTTATATTATTTAATTATAAATAAAATTAATTTATTGCATTTTTTTATAGTGGAAAAATTCTGAAGCAACAAAGACCGTAATTGTTAGTTTTGGCCAGATGATAATCTTAGAAAATATTACTCGAGAAGCTTTTCAGAAAGACAGAGGCTTGTATAAAGGATCCAATAACGCATTTACGTGGGCTGTAATCAATGCCTTTTTTGGGTTTCCGGTCGAAATTACCCTCTCTTAGTAGCTGAAATTGCCAGAACACTTTGGCAAAATTATTGCTCGGGAAAAAACATAATAAAATGATTATTATTATAAATTTCTATCCATTAATAGTTTAGGTACTCATAAATAATGATCTAGTGTAACGGTCGCGTATACCAATATAAAATAAAGTTATGATCAATAATTTTTTCCTTTAATTTTTTATTTAATTACGCAAAAGTTGCGTGAAAATGAGTGGCCAATTTTTAGTTGCCGATAGAAAAGAACTCACTGAATTTGAACGTGGAAAAATCATTGCACTTTCATAAAAGGACAATCAGCGTGGCTTAAGGGTTTTTTATTCCCATTTTTACTTTTATTAAAGAAAAAATCAAAACTTTTTGTAAAACCCACATAGATAATAATATATGTTAGTTATTATACATCAACAAGCAATGTGAAATAATTAAATTCATTTTACTGTGTAATTTTCCATTAAAGATTTGATAACTCACCAAGGTTTCCGGTCCAAACTACAATCTTTTAAATAAATAAAAAATCATTCAAATTGAGTCATTTGTTGTTAAGTTATAAATTTTTAAAGTTTGCCAGTAGAAACAAATGGAAAATTCAAAACGTGAATACCAAAGATACTACATTTTTGTTAGCTGGAAAAATAGCAAACCAGCTAAACAAATTCAACAGGAATTACAGGTTGCTGAGAGGTCTAATGCAGTATCTTTAGCATCTATTTATCGTTGGATTGAAGCATTTGAAAGTGGAAAAAATAATGTTGAAGATGATTCATGTCCTCAAGAAACCTCCACCCTTGAAGACATTGCAAAAGTTGATGATTTAATTAGTGATGATCCTCATATGACAATTACAGCTATTGAAGAGAATGTAGATATTTCTAGAGGAAGTATTCAAAGTATTTTACATAATGAATTAAAAGTTCATAAAATTTGTAAAGAATGGGTTCTGCATGTTTTAACTGTTGAAAATAAAAAAAATCGGGTTGAAATTTCTAAGCAATTTTTAGAAATCCTTGATAATGGACTTAATGACATTATCACAGGTGATGAAACCTGGTTTCATTTTTACACTGTACCAAGTAAAGAATCAAATAAACATGAGTTAAAAGTGGGGAAAATCGGCTGCAAATTGCCAGAACTGCACAAAATGCTAAAAAAAGGATGTTTTGTGTTTTTTTCTCAATAGAAGGTGTTGTGGCAAGAATTGTTGTACCAAAAGGTCAGACTGTAAATGGCACATTTTATAGAACAAATGTATTGCCTATTGTGTTTTCAACATATAAAGAATTAAAAAATAGAAAAATGGTAAGAAATGTGATGATGCATCATGACAATGCTGCTTCACACAAATCAAAAATTGTAACAGAGTATTTAGAAGGGGAAAAAATTATTTTGCTCCCCCACCCTCCATATAGCCCAGATTTAGCTCTTCATGACTTTTTTCTATTTCCTAGAATTAAAAAAGAGCTAAAAAATCAGCATTTTGATCATATTGAAAATCTTGCATGTGCAATTCAGGCAAACACAGATGGCATCACAAAAGAGGACTATCAGAAATCATTTGAAAATTGGAAAAATAGGCTACAAAAATGCATAGATAATGATGGGAACTATTTCGAAGGAATGCATTAATTTATTTTAGCTTTTCTCAACCTTTTAGATAACCAATGTACAAGGCTTGTTTTTGTTGATAATTTTTAAAATTCAATATCTCAATAACTAACTGGTAAAAGAAAGTAACCTTTTTTTTATTTGAAAGATGAGAAGAATGTTACTTATATAAAAGAATTTCAAATTTATTACACTTAAAATCATCAAGTTATGTACCTTATGACAAAAAATTTCCAGTTGTTTTTGTTGTTAATCTTTAAAATTTAATATCTCAATAATTAGCAACCAAAAAAATATTTGCCTTATTTGAAAGATGGGAACTCTGTCTTTTATTAAAAAAATTTCCAAATCAATTGCCTTCAAATTTATAAAGTTACATGCATTTTCTCGAAACTTTTTGTACAACTCGCGTATATTATTTATTTTTATTTTTATTAATAGTCAAAATGATAGTTGATTTTTAAATTATAATATAGCATAGATTGAGTGGAAAATTTTTTTTTTAAATTTTAGAATAAATAAAATTAATAACAACAAATTATCAAGTATTTATTTTGATTGATTTGCAATTAAAAAAATCTAATTGATGGCTAGCTAGTCAATCAACAATAATATTATTAATTATACTACCATTAATTAATATATTATTATAATTATAATTATATCTTTACTTTTTTTGCTATTCTATCACTATTAAAATCATCATCATTAATTGGAGATTTATTTGCTGATCTCTTTTCTGCTAATCCTTGTTTCTTAAAATATTCTCTCCTTTCTTGTTTGTTTTTCTCCTTTAATTTATCATCTAGCTTATTGATTTTCTTTATATGTTCTATACGTTGTTTAGTACGTTTTTCCTTTCGTTTCTTGTCCTTTTCGTTCTTGAGGGTTTTAATTTGTTGCATAAGTGTGTAAACATTCTTTTCTTTAGGTTCCATAACTACTACTCGTTTCTGCATATAGGATTGTTTAGATTGTTTCTTCAAAAGTTTTGGTTTTGATTCAAATGGTAATTCAGCCTGAAGAGATTTTGGAATGTGCAAGGGATTAAATCGCCTTGTTTTTCTTTCAATGCTCTATAAAAAGATTATTTATATTTGTTATTTGGTGTATGATAGATAAATAAATTTTTAACCCAATGAATTTGATAATAAATTACTCTATAATCAGAATCGGATTTATGTGGTGTTGGCATGTTCAATTCATGTCTAACTACACCACTTAATCGCATTCCTTGCCAATCTTTCTTTGAAGATAACAATAATGATGTGACTGGATTATAAAATTTCTTTGGTTTTATAGGATACCAGGCTCGAAGAAATATAATATCTAATTATAAAAAAAAACAACAACATGAATATTTAATGAATGTTCATAAATATATAAAATATAGTACATATATACCACTCATTAATATTTTATCTTCAAATGTAGCACGAAAATGTCCATCGCTTTTCTATATTTCAATAAAAAATTACATTAATATATAATATAAAATTTTAAAAAACAATAACAATTTTCATTTATTTATATACCAAAACAGCCTTTTTAACTTGTCCTCTAATACCAGAAACAGTTCTAATAGCTGCACCTTCAAATTTTGCAACCTCTAATGCAGATGAAAACATGTCTTTGATGAAAGCAGTATTCTTGAAAATCTTGTAAGGTAAACCTGTTAATTTTAATTTTTTAACAATTTCAACTGAATGATTGATATCAAGAACAACACCTGTTGCACTAATACGAAATGAAGCCTATTTTTAAAAAAAAAAATTTTTAAATTAAACATTTAAGAAATTTTATAAAATCGAAATAGATGAAAATTCTATTTATTTTAATTTTTACGTACTGTGTTGCTTGCTGAAACAGATTGAACCGCACAGAAACTTGTGCTTGGGGGATGGATTGGCCCTAATGAAATGAAATATTAATAAAAGTAACTTTGCAATTTAAAATAAACATAAATAAATATGTATTTACCGTAAATAGTTGCTAAACAATGCATATGCTCAGGTGTGTATTTAAGCATCCTGTTTCTTGTACCATCATTTAATGAATAAATAGGCATTGATTGAAATCTCCTCCAACCAATTGAAAAGATGAGAGGATCATTAGTCTTTAATATTTTCTTGTGCCAACGATGACGTTTAATTCGAAGCTATAAATGAAAATTAATATGCTATTACAAAAACCTTCAAAACTTGTATGAATAAATTTGAATAGTATATTAATGATACCTGAATGAATCCTAAATTTTCTTCAGTGGTTAATAACCCGCCTACTATTATAGGATATATTGGATCAAAATGTTTAACAAACTCGCAAGGTATTTCGTTCAATAAGATACGAACATAAGTTCCAGGACTAAACCCTTCAATCATTGCTCTAGCCACAGGATCATCTGATTCAAATTCTTCCCGATTAATTTGTAATTGTTTAGCTATCTCCTCCTTTACTTCATCATAAAAATCTCCCTTCGGCTTATCCTTATTATCGTCATATTCAGCATCAAATTTTTTCTTTAGAAATGCCTTTTTTTTTGCTAATTCCTCTCGTTCAATCTCTTCTTTTGTATTGGTATTTTCAGATGCTTTCACGGCTTCTCCTATTTCAAGATCTTCAAAATCACCCTGTACCTCATCTAAATCATCGTCATTGTCATCAAAGTTTATTTGGGCATCATCATCATCATCTAAGCTACCGGTAATAAATTTATTCCTTAATGATTCTAGTATCTATAAATAAATCTATATTAATTAAAAATAAAGAAGATGATAATGATAATGATAATAATGATAAAATCAACACTTGTTCACCTCCTCGTTATCCCATCGATTTAAATCATCCATCTTTATGCTTAGTTTTATTGAATCAATTTCGTTCATAGAATTGTTTGATTTTTCTTCACTTTCTACAAACTTAAACAACTCTTCATCCTCTTCATCCTCAGTCAAATTAGTTTTCTGCCTAAGAGATCCATCGACATCTTCTGAATTTCCTTCTTCTTCATCCAAAATTGTATCACCCAAGTCACTATCACTTTCAGCATAAGCAACTTCTTTATTTTTATTATTATTATCCTCGGAATTTTTAATATTATAATTTTTTAAGGCTGCTCTTCTTACAAGATGTCGAGTTTTTTTCTTATCATTATAATTACTAATTTTATCATCATCACCATCATCACCATCATCGCCATCATTGCCATCACCATTCTCCTCACCATCATCCTCACCATCACTCTCATCATCATCACCATCACTCTCATCATCATCATTTTCTCCTTCACTGTCATCATCGTCATCATCATCTGATTCAATTACTTCACCTTCAGTGTCATATTCGCTACCTATATTTATTATAGTTTCATCATCATCATCATCATCATCATCATCATCATCATCATCATCATTGTCATCATCATCGTCATCGTCATCGTCATTATCATCGTCATCATCATCGCCGTATTCTTTTTTATAATTTATTTAATGACAATAATTTACTGTCAATTAATACATATGTATAATGAATTTGATATTAATATTTTTTTATTAATATAGTTACCATCTAATAGAGTCAAATTCGATGCTTTCAAATGATTAGAATTAGTGAATAAAGTTAATTCACTTTCTTGCAATTGACTACCAAGTGTATCAGGAGCATCTTGTAAACTCATGACCATTCTTTCACCAAATCCTTGTTCATATTCAACTTTTTTTAATAGTATATTTAGTATTGATTAAAAATATTGACAATAAAAATTTTAAATATCGAAAAAAAATTCTTTTATTACGATTTTTATCATCATCGTCATCATCGTCGTCATCATCATTAATTATTTGATCACTTTTTTTTGTAAAACTTCCAGGAACATTAATATATACAGCATCCTTGTCATACATAATACCTCCTACATCAGACATTGGAGCATAAATAAGTTTTTGTTTTTCACTGAGACTCCTCCTTACTTTTTCAGGAAGAGGACAGGGATCTGATAAAATAGAAATGTCTGAAATGCATTGATCTCCAGCACCAGGTATATGAACCTTTTTTTGAATAATAAATAAACAAGTTCACACAAATCTTTTTTTAAATTCAATTTCAACTAAACAAGTTAAAAGAAAAATTTAAAACAACAAACCTTCATATTACTTTTCATATTTGTTCCTCGTAGATAACCATATAAAGTTATAGTACGATCACACAATGGATTTAATCTAACTTCTTCGGGATCAGTTAAATCTTCAACACGATCAGCCACCAAATATGGACGAGTATTCCTCCAAATCAGCGGACGAAACCTCATAATAGAAATGAATCTTGAAAGATTTTGTATCTCGTTATTAGAATATCGGCCATTTATTATACCAGTCAGATAAAAAAGCTTTGCTCCTTGATAAATTTCTGTCCAGAAACGATGTTTTGTTTTCAATTGTTTGACGTTTATTAATATACGGAGACAGTTTTGGATCAGAAAACATACGTGCGTGTAATATTCGTATTGAACCCTCTACCCCTAGATAAAATTATTAAATTGTCACGTTCCTGAAGTGTGACAAAATTGAATGAGAGTCAAAATCCGCCATATGTATAAATTTTTTTTTTTTAACATTAAAAGATCATTCTATTTACGATTAGGATGTTGTTAGGAAACTGAAGCATGCACAGAGACTCAAGGAGTGGACCTATTAAAAGCTGTGATAAAGCTGCACAACAAGACCATCCGAAAGGAAAATGCATGGCTGACTTAGATTTTTAACCAGAGTAACAAAAAGACACTTGCATAGGCGTGGAAAGGATAGTTCCATTAAATTTGACACCCTAAACCTTAACATTTAATGTTATTTGACGAAATGTTGCCAAAGTTGTAAAACTATTATGTCAAATTCGTTGCCATTAATAGTATCATTTTTTACGTGCCACTTGACGATGATTTCATTTTTTTATGAGCTTCATTCTTGCAATGTCTCCATTATCAGAAAAAATACAAAATATCTGCTCTAAATACATTTGGATGCTCTTATAACCTTGTATAATCATCCTTTTTTTTTACCCACCCATCACATACTTGTAAAATTTTATTTGATGTTGATCATGCGATAATCAATGAAACTTTAATAATAATAGTAATAGTAATATATAGTAAAAAAATAAAAGAGGACAAGGGGCAAATGTGACTGACCCCTGTCTTTTTCACCATTTTTTTCTAAATCTTGTTTAATGATGTTACATTTGGCATCTAATTCACTGAAAAAACAAAGATTCAAACAATTTACTATCCAATTTATCCCCCAAAATCATAGAAGTTCACAGATACAAACAAACGCTAATACTACCAATCCTTATGTTAATTTTGACAATTTACCAAAAGCTGGTATATTTAATCCAAATTATTTAAAAAAAGTTTCAGTTTTGCCTTTTAAATATGATCTAGACCAATGTTCTAAGGAAGCATTAAAAGTAAGTGAATAGATAAATATATTTAATGAATTATATGTGTTTATGCTAAAATAATTCTTGGGTAATTGATACGTTTCATTATAAATTATTTTAGGAGAGATCCTATAAAAATTTAAGCACAGCGAAAATTTATATGCCTTGCTGGTACTATTCAATGCTAATCTGTGTTAAATTTATATGTTATGAAACGAACCGCGCGGCAATTCTTTATGAGGGCGAAGCTCATATCCTCACATCTGAAATACCTTCTTGTGTCATAGGAAATTTACATGCTTTTCAGTTAGTACCAGAGAAAAATATTTATATTTATATAAATTTCATAATATATATATATATATATATCAGAAAATTTTTTAAAAAAATTATTAATATATATAGTTGATAGCTTATTGATATTATTATTACATTAAAAAAAATTATATCTAAAGGTCATGAATTCTTTTTAGATTAGGACACACAATACGAATATATCAGAAATTAATTGAAAAAGTTACTCTAGGAAGGTTGATTTCAACAGTTTTCCCAAAAATAAAAAGCTTGAAACCAAAATATAACTTCGATTGGATAAAAGATTTACAACCAATCAACCCACAAATTTTTGCTGAAATTGATGTTGTGGACTTCACCTATAATCTCCCATATTTTACTCGATTGTTATTTGATCATTCAAAAGATAAATTCAAAAAAATCAAATCAATGACTATTGATGATTTTGTCATGGATGTGGAAAATATTGATGTGGAATTTCAACAATTTTTTCCTGTCTATCATCCTGTCTACGTATTTACAGAGGCATCTTCTACAGATAAAAGCTATCAAGTTGTTGATGCTTACAATTGTCAATTAATTGATCCATCAGTAAGCAATTTTGACTCTATAAAGTACTCTCTTGGTTTTGGCCTTCCTGATAGATTTTTATTTGGTGCATATTTCTTAAATATGCTTGATAAGATTGATGATAATTTTAATGACATTGTAACAAATGCAGAGAATCATTATATGTTGCCAATCAATTGGGATTTGGGTATCATTCAACCTTTCAGAGAAAGGTTTGAAGCAAATCAGCAATTTTTGGAAATTGTTGAAAAATATTATGGATTATTATCAGAATTGAAAGCTCTATATTATAATAATGGTTCATACAAACCAAGTTATTGTAGGAATTTTGATGATTGGATCAGTTATATTAATATGACTAATGGATGGAAAGAAATTTATAAAAAATTAAAGATTCCTTCAGATCTGCCTAGTTTGTCTGTTTTCTCGCAATACTTTTATACTGTAAAATCTGGATTTTTCCAATCAGTAAATGCAAGTGGTATAAAAGAAAAATTACATAAATTTGATCATAAATTTTCATTAAAAAATAAATTCCCTGGATCAACTTCTACTCCATATCTTGGAGTGAATCTTGGTAGAGTGAATCTTGATGGAGTGAATCCTGGTAGAGTGAATCTCGATGGGGTGAATCCTGGTAGAGTGAATCCTTTTGGAATGACAAATGCTGATATAATAAGAAATCATATATTAAAATCTAATGTCTCTTCTTCAAAATCACAATCATCACCAAAATCAAAACCTACTTCGCAATCATCACAATCACCTCCCTCTTCACGACCACCTTCTTCATCATCACGACCACCTTCTTCATCATCACCATCATCACCATCACCACCATCACCACCACCATCACCTACTTCTTCAACACCACCATCACACCATAGATTAAAGAGAACAAAATATTTATTGGATATTTTAGAACAGAGAACTAAAAAACCAAACAAATCAGCTTCACCCTCATCATCACCATCACCATCATCATCGCCATCACAAACTACTTCATCTGAAAGAAAAAAGAAACCTATATCAGTCATAGACATTGCAACAAAAAATATTACTCCTTCATCCTCATCATCATCGTCACCCTTCTCATCCAAAACACAAAAATCAGGCCCAATAATATCTGATCCTAAAGGATATTATAAAATACTTAAAATAGATTTATCATTATATAGAACTATTCCTGAAGATCTAGTGATTGAATTAAACTTCAAAAAAACATATGCAGAAATTCTGCAACAATCTAATGATCCAAATATTGCTGAAGAAGAGAAGCAAAGAAAAACTGAACAGCTTAGAAAGATTTTGGAAGCTAGAAATAAATTAAAAACATGTAGGTTTAAAAAAAAAAATTTATAATATGTTTAAGCCATATGTTTTTATGTAAAAAAATTAATAATTGTATTCTATTTTTATATAGCTGAATTGCGTATAAAATATAGTGAATTAAAATTAAATTGGAAATTTTAGAAATCATTTATCATTTGTTTTTTATACTAACATGATAATAATACATAATAAGATTGTACAAGAAACTAATTTATATTTTTGCATTTTAACTGATTCGTTTCGTCCAAAGTGCAAAGCAGATATAAAACACGACATGAAGAAACCACTGAGGCATTTTTGGAATTGAATTTATCTTGTAAAGCTTTTTGAATCTTTGGTGTCTAAATTAATTAATATTTTATATTTGTTAAAAATTATAAATAAAAAAATTACCCCAAACTTTTTTTACTCTAACCTCTTCATTCAAATAAAGGTCCAAATTTTCTTTATTGTCAACCTCAAAAACTACAGTGATACATTTATGTATTCGGTCAGGGTCTTTTATCTCAGTATCGCTTTCTTCATCATCTTTTGGAAATCGTGAAACACGGAATCCTTTTTTTTTTATTGTTTCATTGAGATAATCTTGTAACCATTTTTCCAAATCCTCAACAATTTCTTTTGTTTGTTTTTTCCCGATAAATGTTATATATCAATTGATGATTATGATAATGCTATTATGATACCAATATCGATATTGATGTTGATAAATAATTACCTAAATCAATAATAAAATTTACTTCATAAATAATGGTAAAATTTTGCTATCATCAAATACTTTGATGTTGGAACTAGATGATGACATTTTTACTTTTTTATGTTAATATTTTCTGGGTTTTTTTTTTACTATTACATCCATATTAAGCATAATTTATTTGCCAAATAAAAAATAGTACTGATATTAGCACCAATCAAACAAATAGGTGTCAAGAACAATTTGTTCTTTATACTAACATAGAAGAATTAATAATCCAACCAATGTTAATAAATATTAATTACTTAATGAACCAGTATGGATGGGATTGTTTTCTGAAGATTTGTGTCAATGTTTCATCAAAAAATGAACTTTCACAGGGATCACGGTATGAGTGATTTTTTAATCTGTGGGAGTTATAAGCTTTATGTGGTAATAAAAAGACAGCCAAAAAGATTAGCATTGAAATGTGATACAAAATTACGATTATGAATTATAAACTGGGACCAAAGAAATTGACATTAGTTAAGGTAGATAATGAATGTCCCGACCAGGCAACGAAATACTAATACCACACACCATTGAAATTCAAAAATTCGATTATATGTACTGAAGATTCGCGCATTTACCAACAATGTGCTGCAGGCAACCTACCTAGTGTTGTGTTCAAAATTTTGTTACACAAGAATCGCTACGTGATTGTTGATCATATTAATATAAAAAAAAACTTTTCGAATCAAAAAATTTTTATTAATAATTATTAATGGAAGACAAAGAGAAGAAAGCTCATCGTCCACGTCAAGCTGGTTCCAAAAAAGATAAGAAAGATAAAAAGGATAAAAAAAAGAAACCCCAAGAAAAAAACAATCCAAAGGTTATTATTATATATATATATATATATGAATTATATATCATTCATAGTAACATTTTTAAATTTTTATTTATCAAAAACCATTTTCTTAAAATCTTAATATAACAGGCGT